AGGAGGCCGAAGAGGGAGGATCACTTTGAGGTCTGGAGTTTGAGACCAGCTCAAGCAAGAGCAAGACCCCGTCTCTACTAAAATTAGAGAAAAAAATTAGCCAGGCATGGTGGTGCACACCTGTAATCCCAGCTACTCAGAAGGCCGAGGCTGGAGGATCACTTGAGCCCAGGAGTTTGAGGATGCAGTGAGCTAGGATGTTACCACTGCATTTTAGCTGGGGCAACAGAGTGAGACTATGTCTAAAAAAAAAAAAAAAAAAAAAAATCTCGTGTGATAATGGTATTGTGGTTGTATAGGGTTATAACTTTACTCTTATGAGAGACAAGGTGAAGTAGTATAGGATGAAATAACCTGATATCTTCAATTTACTACAAATCCTTCCCCCAAAAGGATACATAAAGAGACCAACATAAAGCAAATTCAACAAAATGTGAACAGAGCATTTTGGTGAAGTTTTCATGGAAATTTTACAGCAGTTCTCTGTATTACTCCTTCATCTTTTCTATAGGTTGAAAATTTTTCAAACTAAAAAGTTGAGAGGGCAAATACCTATTTGAACTACTGTCATTCAAGAGCTCAACAGACCTGCAGACTTACCGGAAGAGATGTAGAGAAGGAAACTAACACTGAGCACTTACTATATACCAGGTGCTCTTTATATCTGTGATTTCAGTCAACCCTCATAGCAAACAAGTCTAGGGAAATTATTATTTTTTTTTATTTTATTTTATTTTATTTTATTTTTGAGACAGAGTCTCACTCTGTTGGCCCAGTCTAGAGTGCCATGGCATCAGCCTAGCTCACAGCAACCTCAAACTCCTGGGCTCAAACAATCCTCCTGTCTCAGCCTCCCAAGTAGCTGAGACTATAGGTATGTGCTACCATGCCCAGCTAATTTCTTCTATATTTTTAGTTGTCTGGCTAATTTCTTTCTATTTATAGTAGAGACACTGTCTTGCTATTGCTGAGGCTGGTCTTGAACTCCTGAGCTCAAGGAATCCTCCCACCTTGGACTCCCAGAGTGCTAGGATTATAGGTGTGAGCCACCACGCCCAGCTGACAAATTTTTTTTTTTTCAGAGATGAGGTCTGGCTGTGTTGCCCAGGCTGGCATGCAGTGGCTATTCACAGGCCTGATCACAGCACACTATAGCCTCAAGCTCCTGGCCTTGAGTGATCCTCCTGCCTCAGCCTGTCAAGTAGCTGAGACTACAGGAGCATGCCACCGAGCCCAGCTTTACGATAATTATTATTGCTCTCATGTATAGAGGAGAAAACTGATGCTCTGAAAGGTGGAGTGAAAAATCCGACAGTTATGAACAATAGAGTTCCACCAAAACCTGGCAGGATACAAGGCCACGCCCTTCCACTCTTTCATTGTGCTCTTCTCCCCCCCTGCTTCTTTGTCCTCTCCATCCAAAATTTACTATATCCAATGAACTTCCACAGATTTTAAATCTATACTCTAATAACACTCAATATTCAGTAACGGTGAAGCAATCACATTGAACCATGCTTCTGCTGTTCAGTGAAAACAGAAAAGCTAGTGAGAATGTAGAGAAATAGGGATAATGTTCCTCCTCCCTATGGGCCACAACATGTGCAGACCTGGCAGGGGCTTTGATAAGAGCTAGCCAGGCAAAACGGAGCAATGTGGGGAAAACAGAACAAGGATATGAAGCAATAAATGAAATTCTAACAAATTGTCCTGAGGATATACTAAAATGACTATATATACCATTATGAAAAGCAAGTATATCCCTGAAACTTACAAGTCACAAAGGACAACTATCATAAACACCAGCATTCAGGGCATTTAGAGAATTACTTCAGAACAAATAAAAGGACAACCTTACAAGACTAGTGGTTAACATATGAAAAATTATGTTGTGACAGGGCTTGAGGAAATGGTTTAGATCCATTTGTGAGTGAAAATCTAGAGCTTATTAAATAGAATAATAATAATAGACAATTCATTGTATGAGGCACTATTTTTAGCACTTGCACATAAATCAACTCATTTAATCCTCAGGGCAACCCTATGGGACAGGCATTAGTAATTATTCCTATTTTACAGATGGAGAAATTAAGGCCAGAAAAGTTAAGTAGATCTGTCCAAGATCACACAGCTGGTAAGTAGGCTAGGATTCTAAGCCGGAGGGCCTGGCTTTAGAGCCTATACTTGTAATCACTATTGTACACTGCCTCTCAAGGAAGGAAAGGCCAGGCGCTGGGCTCACGCCTGTAATCCTAGCACTCTGGGAGGCCGAGCGGGCCGGATGCGCTCGAGGTCAGGAGTTTGAAACTACCCTGAGCAAGAGTGAGACCCTGTCTCTACCATAAAATACAAAGAAATTAATTGGCCAACTAATACATATAGAAAAAATTAGCCAGGCATGGTGGTGCATGCCTGTAGTCCCCAGCTACCTCGGGAGCGTGAGCAGAAGGATTGCTTGAGCCCGGGAGTTTGAGGTTGCTGTGAGCTAGGCTGATGCCATGGCACTCACTCTAACCTGGGCAACAAAGTGAGACTCTGTGTCAAAAAAAAAAAAAGAAAAGGAAGGAAAGAGTTATTTACTCTTAACTTTTGAAACCAGAGATTGATGCTACAAGGCCAACTAACACACTTTCTGTGAGAGAGAACACTGCTCAGCCCCACAGGTCTAACCCTCTTCAACTCATCTCACATACAAACCAGGTTTGGGGGAATTATCCCAACAGTCCTTTCAATCCCACTCTGCTTCGACTGGATAAACGGAAAACCAGACTAATCAAGACTTGAAAATGAAATGACAAGCAACCACTAAAGAGAGTTAGTTCACTTAAAAAGTGTGCATTTATAGCTCATTGTTAGGCAGACATAGAATCTGGCATGAAGAGTTCAAGTTTTTTCCCCAGGCTGCCAGCATATTCTGATACAATTCCATCTCTACCCGCTTTGGAAAGGAGGGCAAAGAAGAAGCAGAGTTGAAATTAAACAAGTGCTGGCCAAACCCCTTTAAAGGACCTTAGATCTTTTTCTACATGCACAGAGAGGACAATTTTCAGAACAAAAGAATCCTTGGGCATGTCAATGGCTCCAAGTGGCAAGATTTTCAGTACCATTCACAGTACTAGTAAATTGAATGTCCTATAAGAATCATGAACGGAAGATACCCTTTAATCCCAGCCTGTGGGCATACCTAACACATAACAGTTCAGAGAAACCCAGACCCTGAGGAGCTTCAGCATTTCAGCAAACTAAGTGAGGTTAGACAAGAAGGCAGGGGCCCTCCTCTCAAGACATTTTCCAAACTACAGAACTTCTGACAGTAAGGCCAGATTCACTTCAAGTTATTTCCAATGTTCTACAATCCAGATATCCTCTTCCTGAATCCTTCATACTGCTAAGAGAAGCTGGTCCGGGGAACACACCAACTACTTTAAGTGTAATTCCTCTAACAGACTTAACACAAAGAATAAGTAACTTCACCTTATTAGTGTTTCTTGTAAGAAACCCTAAGGGGTGATCTTCCACCTAGAAAGGAAATGAAATACTAGTAAGCTGATGAAAAATCTTAAAGGTGTTTTGACCGGGCATGGCGGCTCACACCAGTAATCCTAGCGCTCTGGGAGGCCCAGGTGGGAGGATGGCTCAAGGTCAGGAGTTCAAGACCAGCCTGAGCAAGAGTGAGACCCTGTCTCTACTAAAAATAGAAAGAAATTAGCTAGACAACTAAAAATATATAGAAAAAATTAGCCGGGCATGGTGGTGCATGCCTGTAGTCCCAGCTACTCGGGAGGCTGAGGCAGAAGGATTGCTTGAGCCCAGGAGTTTGAGGTTGCTGTAAGCTAGCCTGACACCACGGCACTCTAGTCTAGGCAACAGAGCAAGACTCTATCTCAAAAAAAAAAAAAAAGGTGTTTCAAGGAGATGAGAGATGAGTAATGAGGTCTCAAAACCATTTTTTTCTTCCTGTGTAAGCTGAACTAAACTTAAACATGTATGGCCGATTATTGGAGTCACATACCTGGGCTCACTACAGGCTCAATCAGGTACATAATTTGGAGGATGTTACAAACCCTTAATATCCATTTATGCAAAATGGGGGCTAATAACCTGTACTTCATAAAGGTTGTACTGAGCACTAAACGAGATAGTAAACGTAATTTGGCCTCAGCATGACAGTACATCCACAGTTCAATGTAAGGTCTCTCTTAGCCCCTTTCTCCCCACCCCGCCCCACCTCACCTTTGGACTATAAACCCCTTCAGAGGCCTTATCATCATCCAGTACCTCCCGACAGCAGACGCACAGGCGGCAATACTGGTCCTCATGGTCCCCTACTGGGGTGGGATTTGGCTGAATTTGTAGGTGGAAAGCTAGAGCGGAGCCCTTAGCCAATAAAACCAAACCCAGGGAAGAGAGGATGAATTCTCAGCCAAAAGCTTGGTGGCGTCTGTTGTTTACAGTGCGTCCCCTTCCTACTAGCGCACCGAGAGGGTCTGAATATAGTATTTCCGACCCTTCAACTTGGCAAGGATAACTAAAGACGAAGAGTCTGGCAGCCACTCCGGGAGGCTGAGGCTGTGGGGGAGTGGTAACCCTGATGGAGTCAGACCCCACCCGGAGGGGACAGCCAGGAACGATCCAGCCTCTCACTCCCTCTCCTCAAGCAGGGGCCCTTGCAGCTCCAGGCTGGGGGCTTCCCAAGGGTCCCGCCACCCTTCCCGCCAAGATCAAGTGGGACCGGAGGCGCTGGCAAGAGGAGGAAGAGGAGGCCCGCCGGCGCGGCCAAGCGCCAGATCCCGGGCTCCAGAATGTGGTCAAAGAGGGGTCACCGGGGGAGGGGCCGGGCGGGGAGGACCTGCGGAGGGGCGGGGCTCGAGAGGGGGCGAGGAGCTGGGGCCCCCCAGCTTCAAAGACTCCGGGTCCCTACTCGGCTCTCAACCGTATGCTGAGCGCCCCCTCCAGCCGGGGTCCCCGCCGCCACAGCGGGGCAGTCCCACTCCCCTTACCTGGCTCGGCTGTTCTGCCTGCTCCGAGGACGCCATCTTTCTGAGGCCTGACTAATCTATCGCCGCTGGACGAGGTTTCTCCCAAGCGCCCTCGCTCTCGCTCTCCCGGCCAGACTAAGGTAGCCGGAACAGAGCCGGTCGATGGGGGCGGGGACGGACTTGGGGCAAAGGGGTGGAACCCGGCTGTCTTAGTTCACCTCGGACAATTTCCATTGTCTCTGCTTTAAAGGAAGATCCGAAGTCTAAATCCTCTTTTGCACTTTTATATGTGTATTATTTTATTGAATTAAACCTACCCGTCCCCGTCCCCACAGTGCTGTGGGCATGGGGACTCGCTAAGTATTTAATAATGAATGAATGTGGAGAAACTTAGAAATTAATTCTTAGACATTCAGTTCGGTGCCAGTCATGAAGTGCTTTCTATTTGCCAGGAAAACTACAAATAAAAAGATCCAAGACCCGACCCCTATTCCCAAGCCCAGGCGGAAAACACACACAGTTCCAGCGTCGTAGGGATGAGACTTAGATAACAGTGTGCAGGTCTTGGGAAAACACACTGGAACGTGCTTTTTGGGGAGGAGAGGATTCTATAAGAAACATGATTATCTTATAGTGGTTGAATTGTTAGATTTTTAAACTAAATGTGAAATTACATGAAAAGGGATGCATATAATATGAGAACTATGAGCCAGCCCATATTATAGTTGTGTTTTGGTCCATATGAAGTACTCAGAAGGGTTGCCTTTATTAACAATTCCTCCTACCAAGCACTTTTAAATGCCTACCCTTTTCTTTAGATAGTATCTGATTTCCTAACTCACTTTTTTTAATAAACAAAATATGAAAGGGATTGACTGAACGAATAAGGGCAATTATTTCTAGTTTACATAAAATGCCCTCTTTTAAGTGAGGAACGTTTTTTATTCTTTTTAATTATTCTTTTAATCTTAAGTGTTAGTTTTTCAGGAGGAAAAAACAGACTTTTTAGTAAGTATCAGTATTAAAACAAGGATAAATATTAATATGTTGTCAAGTAGCATCTGAACAACTGCAACGGTACTGTGGTTCGCATTTCCCCTTTCCTCCCTGATTTGAGACCTTCATGTTTACTCAATTTAAATAAAGCATGTGGGCTGGGCGCGGTGGCTCACGCCTGTAATCCTAGCACTGGGAGGCCAGGAGGCCGAGGCGGGCGGATTGCTCCAGGTCACGAGTTCAAAACCAACCTGAGCAAGAGCAAAACCCCGTCTCTACTATAAATAGAAAGAAATTAATTAGCCAACTAATATATATATATATATATACACACACAAAAAATTAGCCTGGCATGGTGGCGCATGCCTGCCTACTTGGGCAGCTGAGGCAGGAGGATTGCTTGAGTCCAGGAGTTTGAGGTTGCTATAAGCTAGGCTGACACCACAGCACTCACTCTAGCCTGGCAACAAAGTGAGACTCTGTCTCAATCAATCAACCAATCAATCAATAAATCATTCATTTTGTTCTCAGGCCCCAACCAAATTTGTACAGCTGAAGCAGGGAATAGAATGGGTGAAAATGTGTGGGTATCTTATGCTACTTTGTTGTGTTTTCATCAAGACTGAAAACTTGTCAGTTTTAAAATTGAATCCCTTCAAATCAGCCTGCACATTGAGACATCTTACAAATCTTTTCAGGTTAGAAAAGGAAGACCAATTAACACAGTGCAATGACAGACTATTTTATTTAAGTACGTTATGCATCCCATCATCACATATACAAATAGGAGTGCTCTCCTAAAAATTCAATGCGTGTGCTTCGTTATGCAAAATAAGTCCCTATTGACCTCCTTATTAAACGTGCGACTTACAACTCCTAAATATCAATACAATGTAAAAACAAACTCCTCCCGAGCTGAATCCCGTGATATACTAATAATAGCGAAATCGGCTTTGAATCCAGAGACTGCAGTTCCCGGCACGCCTCCGGGTCGCACAGGATTGCCGACTAGAACTACATCTCCCGGCGTGCCCCGGTCCCACGCGTGATTTGCTGCAGCGAGAACTACAACTCCCGGCAGGCCGCGGGAGGGGGATCGAGTAGGAGGACAGCCGCACCTAGCTTCCCGCGACTTCCTGGAGTCAGTCGGGCTCCTACCTTGAAAAGGATGGAGGTGACTGGGAGTGCTGGCGCTCCGGAACCCGGCGAGATCCGGAATCTAAAGCCGTGTCTGCTGCGCCGCAACCACAGCCGCGAACAGCACGGCGTGGCCGCCTCCTGCCTGGAGGAGCTGAGGAGCAAGGGTTGGCAGGGGACCCGGGCGAGGGGCTGGGGGAGCCGGGGCCGCGGGAGGATGTCCGACTGGGCAAGGCGGGGTCTGGAGAGGCGACTGGGGGATTCTTGTAGCTCGGATGGAGCCTTGGGAGAGAAATGGTCCACGTGCGTTTAGCGATTTATAGATTTCAGGTGCTTAAAGGTAATTTATATCGTGTGAGATGCATAGTGGTGGCAGAATAGGAAGAAATGTGCAAATTAAGACAGATTCGGTTTAGGTTTATTGCCTAAAATCACTTAGATACTGGACCAAACCTAGCCCAGTGTATCCTGCCACTGCGGCTCACTAAGGTGGTACCCCCAGCCGAGCCCACAGCAGGGTAGGGGCGGGTTTGCACCATCCGCTCTAGCAGGGACCTGTGCCATAAAGAGGACGCTGCTACTGACCCTTCCTGGAGGTCCGGACAAGGAACGTGAACCGTGGGTGACTGAGATGACAGGAGTACTGAGCCTGGCGCCATACTGTCACTAGCTTCTTGACCTTGCTCTTAACTGTGTCTCAACGCTCAGTTTTCTCATGGGCAAACTGGATATAATACTCCCAGCCCTGCTTCAAAGGATTGTTGAGACTCTCAAATGAGGTGACATATTCAAATGATTTGCAAGTCTTATTAGCCTGTAGCAACAAATTGTTAATTACAAAGACATTTTTACAGGTTAGATGTGTGAGTCAGCCCCAGGCAGTTCCTGTCAGAGTGTGTGCAGTTCCTCCACCCAACAGATAGCATATAGAAGTTTTTCAGCGACCCAGGAGCAACCAAAGCACTATAAATGCCTTGGTGATATAGATCTTTGCCATATAAGTGTTTATATATTTTTTCGTGGCCTTAGGTTACTTCAATTTTAGTGCTGATTCAGAGTATTGGCTGGATGTACTTGGCACAAAGGCCTGTGTTCTTTGTAGCTCAGCCCACAAGGCTTGCTGTTCTATTTAGGTGGCAGACATCATTGCAGAGGGATATTTGTAGTAAGCTATTTCTGCTTACATCAGTCCTGTTAGCATTTTAGACACTGCCATCACTAAATGGGATGGTAAGAGACCTGCCCGAGAGAAGTCTTTTGCCCAGTGATAATGAAAATGAAAAGCTAGCGCTAGAAGCTTCTGCTTCTCTTATACTTTCCTATAGGTTAGAAAAGGTACAAAGGAAGATACTACAAGAACAAAAAACATTTCCTTCCTTTTTTTTTCTTTTTTTTTTACATTTGTCACACAGGAGAATTTAAGGCTGGGTATAGTGGCTCACACCTATAATCCCTGTGCTTTGGGAGGTTCAGACAGGATTGCTTGAGGCCAGGTGTTCGAGATAAAGCTGGGCAACATAGCAAGATTTCATCTCTACAAAAAATTTTTTAAAAAACTTAGCTGGACTCTGGGAGGCCGAGACAGGAGAATCGCCCAAAGTCAGGAGTTCAAAACCAGTCTGAGCAAGAGCAAGACCCCATCTCTACTAAGAATAGAAAGAAATTAATTGGCTAACTAAAAATATATAGAAAAAAAATCAGCTAGGCATGGTGGCGCATGCCTGTAGTCCCAGCTACTTTTTTTCCCCGGCATATTATGGGGGTACAGATTTTAAGGTTTCAATAAATGCCCTTTCCCCCCTCCCCCCACAAGTCTGAGTCTCCAGCATGACCATCCCCCAGATGGTGCACATCTCACTCATTATGTATGTATATACCCCCTCCCATCTGCCCAATACCCTATTACTGTAGTACCTATGTGTCCACTTAGGTGCTGCTCAGTTAATACCAGTTTGCTGGTGAGCATATGTGGTGCTTGTTTTTCTATTATTGGGACACTTCACTTAGTAGTATGGGTTCCAGCTCTAACCAGGAAAATATAAGATGTGCTATATCGCCGTTGTTTCTTAGAGCTGAATAGTACTCCATGGTATACATATACCACATTTTATTAATCCATTCTTGGATTGATGGGCACTTGGGCTCTTTCCACAGCCTTGCAATTATGAATTGTGCTACTATAAACATTCGTGCAGGTGTTTTTTTTGTAGAGTGTCATTGGATCTTTTGGGTAGATGCCCAGGAATGGGATTGCTGGATCAAATGGTAGATTCACTTGTATCGCTTTAAGGTATCTCCATATTGCTTTCCACAGAGGTTGAACTAGTTTGCAGTCCCACCAGCAGTGTAGGAGTGTTCCCCTCTCTCCACATCCACGCCAGCATCTATTGTTTGGAGACTTTTTGATAAAGGCCATTCTCACTGGAGTTAAGTGATACCTCATTGTGAGCCTGGGAGTTTGAGGTTGCTATGAGCTAGGCTGACGCCACGGCACTCTAGCCTGGCAAAAGAGCGAGACTCTGTCTTAAAAAGAAAAAAGAAAAACTTAGCTGGGCATGATGGTGTGTAGCTGTACTCCTAACTACTCAGAAGGATCTGCCTTAGCAGAAGGATTGCTGGAGCTCAGTAGTTCAAGGTTGCAGTGAGCTGTGATCATGCCACTGTACTCCAGCCTGGGACACAGAGGGAGACCCTGTCTCTAAAAACATAAGTAAATAAACATTTTTTGATTAAAAATATAGGAGAATTTAAGAGGAACACTGAATAAATGAATGAGAGATGGCTTATTCATAATAAATCAAACCAGACGTGGGTTGGTTGTTTATTCAAGTAAAAACTCCAATGCCGCCTATACACTGGTGCTGAGTAGCTGTAGTGAACACATTTTTAGGAGCCAGACGGTGTGGGTTTAAATCACCTTTACCACTTACTGTGTGATCTTGGATAAGTTACTTAACCTCACTGAGCCTTGGGTTCATCAT